GAAAGGAAGATGGAAAAAAAGCGATGTAATGCATTAGTTGAGAGATATTTTATATTTTGCCTGATACTGACGTTTGATATATGATTAGGATTAGTATATGAGATATTTTAAAGACTAGACAGATTGGTGGCGCCGCGACTTCATGTTACAATCTGATTTTTCTTGATTTTGTGACAGTATAGCTCGTGTTTTCTGGTGACTCTTTAGTTTTTCCTTGATGCTGATTTGAACACTTATTCACTTGGTTATGCTGTATAATTATCATTGTGATTTCTGAAATTAACTCATCCGAATATTCATTGGCTGGTTCTGATGATTATGGGAAGAGATTATGTAATAGTAAGGTATTTTTGTTGCAGCAAAGAACCTTATTCTTGCTGGGGTTAAATCTGTGACCTTACATGATGTGGGTAACGTGGAGTTGTGGGATTTAGCGAGCAGTTTTATCTTCTCTGAAGAAGATTTGGGAAAGAACAGGGCTCTTGCTTCTATCCAGAAATTGCAGGAACTTAATAATGCCGTAATCATTTCTACTTTAACAGATGAGTTAACTAAGGAGCAGCTTTCTAATTTTCAGGTAACATTTTGCTCATAAGGTGTAATTAGCGAGCTTTAAATTTTTCATGCAAAATTGTAACTTCTATATTGATGTTTTGGGTTATTTTTGTGTAAATTTAATTTGATGTATATTATTTGCTTGACCAATCAAGTATTATTTTTCTTATCCTTGAAAACTGTTTCGTTTCTGTGCTTGGATCTTTTAAGTTGAATAAAAGTAATTTTCCATCGTTTGGGGCACTTTCATGTCTTACTTAAAATGTACATACCGATGATTTCATGATCAATTATTCTGTTGTTGACATCAGTTTCTGGTTTGGGTTTATGTTTATTTATTCATTTGATATTTCAGTCATTGTTTATCTTGACCTCAAGGGGTACTTGTACTTCTATGGCTCTTTGTCATATATATATATATTTCCCTGGAATATGAACTGTCATAATATTGTTAAATATGAAAAGTACAGAAACTTTTGTGATTTAAGTTCATACCTGGGTTAAGACCTGCAAAATATACGGCCTGTTGAAACCAAATATGTCTGTATACTTGTTCTGCACTACAAAATTGTAGAATGTTATTAATATTTCATATTTGGTCTCCAGGCTGTTGTATTTACTGATATCAGCTTAGACAAGGCAGTGGAATATGATGATTATTGCCACAAGCATCAGCCTCCAATTGCTTTTATCAAATCTGAAGTTCGTGGCCTTTTCGGTAGTGTGTTTTGTGACTTTGGTCCCGAGTTCACAGTTTTTGATGTTGATGGTGAGGATCCGCATACAGGAATTATTGCATCTATTAGCAATGACAATCCTGCTCTTGTGGCGTGTGTTGATGACGAGAGGCTTGAGTTTCAGGACGGAGATCTAGTTGTGTTTTCTGAAGTGCGAGGGATGACTGAATTGACTGATGGAAAACCGAGAAAAATTAAAAATGCCAGGCCTTACTCATTCACCATTGAAGAAGACACCACAAATTATACTGCATATGAGAGAGGTGGTATTGTCACACAAGTAAAGGAACCTAAAGTCCTGAGCTTCAGGACACTGAAACAAGCGCTGAAGGATCCTGGGGATTTTCTCCTTAGTGACTTCTCCAAATTTGACCGCCCACCTCTCCTGCATTTGGCATTTCAAGCACTGGATAAGTTTATAGCTGATTTAGGACGCTACCCTGTTGCTGGATCTGAGGAAGATGCTCAAAAACTAATATCTCTTGTTACTGATATTAATAATAGCTTACTTGATGGAAGACTTGAGGAGATTGACCAGAAGCTTCTTCGGAACTTTGCTTTCGGTGCCAGGGCTGTGCTAAACCCCATGGCAGCCATGTTTGGTGGTATTGTTGGACAGGAGGTCGTGAAGGCTTGCTCAGGCAAATTCCACCCGCTTTTTCAGGTATTGTAGCTTTAGTATAAATTTAAGTACACTTATAACTTACACGCTTTACAGTATCTGTAATGAGCAATTGATACGTTTTATCAGGACAGGACGAATGAATTATCTTTCACATAGAATGTGGTGGTGTAAATTATCTGCAATTTTGAATTTCATTATTTTTTAATCTTTCGCTAACCTGACATGGTTTTCGAATGTTAATTGGTTGAGTAATTTGGTGGCCAGTTTTTCTATTTCGACTCTGTTGAATCACTTCCCAGCAAACCATTGGATCCTGACGACTTAAAGCCCCTGAATTCCCGCTATGATGCTCAAATTTCTGTATTTGGATCTAAGTTACAGAAGAAACTTGAGGATGCAAAAGTTTTCATTGTGGGATCTGGTGCACTGGGGTGTGAGTTTCTGAAAAATCTAGCTTTGATGGGCGTTTGTTGTGGTGATGGAGGAAAACTAACAGTTACAGACGATGACGTCATCGAAAAGAGCAACCTTAGCAGGCAGTTCCTTTTCCGCGATTGGAACATCGGGCAGGCAAAATCAACAGTTGCTGCCTCGGCTGCTACTTTGATCAACCCACTTCTTCATGTTGAAGCTTTGCAAAATCGTGCAAGCCCTGAAACTGAAAATGTTTTTGATGATACATTCTGGGAGAACTTGAACGTTGTCATCAATGCTCTAGACAATGTGACTGCCAGGCTTTATGTTGATCAGAGGTGCTTGTATTTCCAGAAACCTCTTCTAGAGTCAGGAACCTTGGGTGCCAAGTGTAACACTCAGATGGTAATCCCTCACCTAACGGAAAATTATGGTGCATCAAGGGACCCACCGGAAAAGCAAGCACCCATGTGCACAGTGCATTCATTCCCACACAACATTGACCATTGCTTAACATGGGCTAGGTCTGAATTTGAGGGGCTGCTTGAGAAGATACCTGCTGAAGTTAATGCTTATTTGAGTAATCCAAATGAATATATATCTGCAATGAACAAAGCCGGTGATGCCCAGGCCCGGGACACATTGGAACGCGTTTTAGAGTGTCTTGACAGGGACAGATGTGACACCTTCCAGGACTGCATTACTTGGGCTCGCTTGAAGTAATAACCGTTTAATTATTAGTTATCATTTTTTTAGCATAACTATCCCTCTTAGGTTCTGATAGTATTCTCTTGATGAATTCAGGTTTGAAGACTACTTTGCAAACCGGGTCAAGCAGTTGACATTTACTTTTCCTGAGGATGCTGTTACTAGCAGTGGGGCACCATTCTGGTCGGCACCAAAGCGTTTTCCACACCCACTTCAGTTCTCTGTTCATGATTTGAGCCATCTTCAGTTTGTTATGGCAGGGGCTATATTAAGAGCAGAGACCTTTGGCATCCCAATTCCAGACTGGGTCAATTCTTCTGAAAAGTTAGCTGATGCTGTTGACAAAGTGATTATCCCTGACTTCCTGCCAATGAAAGATGCAAAAATTGTGACTGATGAGAAAGCAACTAGTCTATCTACTGCATCCATTGATGATGCTGTTGTCATCAATGAGTTGGTTATGAAGTTAGAAAGGTGTCGAGAGAAGTTGCCACCAGGTTACAAGATGAATCCTATTCAGTTTGAAAAGGTGCGTCTGGCCATCTGTTTTCTCTCTGTGTTATGTTTGCATGAATTCCCTCTAGCATTTTTTTGCATCCTGGCCTAGAATATGGTGACATTACTCTCATAGATTCAATAATAGCAGGGCTGATGAGTCAGGAATCTTTGAAAAGAAAATGTAAGCTGGATATTTGCTGCCAGGAAACAGTAAACCTATCTTCGCATTTAGGAAATTAATGGAACTGTTTGAATATCTTTCATTATTGACAAATCTGTTGAAAAATGCTTCTTCAATAAGCACCTTGCACTTTAGACACTATTAGTTCGCTTTATTGAGTTCTTCTAATGTGCAGGATGACGACACAAACTATCATATGGACCTGATAGCTGGTTTTGCCAACATGAGAGCAAGAAACTATAGTATTCCTGAAGTCGATAAGCTCAAAGCCAAATTTATTGCAGGGAGAATCATCCCTGCAATTGCAACTTCCACGGCAATGGCCACAGGATTTGTTTGCCTTGAGCTGTATAAGGTTCTAGACGGACAGCACAAACTGGAAGATTACCGTAACACTTTTGCAAACCTAGCACTTCCTTTGTTCTCAATGGCTGAGCCAGTTCCTCCCAAAGTCATCAAGCATCAGGATTTGAGTTGGACTATTTGGGATAGGTGGATTCTGAAAGACAACCCGAGTCTTAGAGAGTTGCTTCAATGGCTCAAAAATAAAGGCTTGAATGCTTATAGCATTTCCTTTGGAAGTTGCTTGCTTTACAACAGTATGTTCCCGAGGCACAAAGAACGCATGGATCGGAAGTTGGTAGATCTGGTCAAGGACGTAGCGAAAGCTGAGCTGCCACCGTACCGGCATCATTTCGATATCGTAGTGGCTTGTGAGGATGATGAAGACAATGATATTGATATTCCTCAAATTTCCATATACTTCAGATAGATTTAGTTTATTCCACCTATGTGCTGGTTAATCAAAAGATAATCTGTGTTTGTAGATGAATATCACGTTCCATGGTAAACCTTGATCTTGGATTCGACTGATTTCAATTTAAAAACTTGATACTTGTTACATGTACTTGCATGTAGATGTGAAAACTGTGTAGCTATATGTTTGAAGTGCCGTGCTCTAGTCTTGCTTCGGACAGAGCTAATTTTTAATCGGTCATTTCTTGTTTGATGATATTTTAAATTTTGTTGCCTTGCGAAAAAATTATTCTGACCTCGGTGATTGATAATAGCGACCCTGGGTCATATATACATATGAATGGTGTTGTATGTTTGGTCCTAGATCTTATGTGCTAATACGTGCCAATGTTTTGTTGTTGGAACATTCTTGTCTGCAACCATTTCTGCTCTCTGTTATTCGCAATGTCAATCTATACTAGAAAAAAGATTTAAATATAAGAATTCGAGTATACATAAGGCATCCTACAGTGGGTTTTATGCGTCTTTAAATCCAACTAGAAACTTTTACTAATGGTGTACCCTTCCATTTCAACACCATCTCATGTTCTTCATCCCCTGCAATCTTGACCTTGTAAGAACTCTCTCTTTCATTAACAATCTGCTTGGCTTCATTTAAACTTTCTTGGCTGAGTTTCTGTCCCTTCAAACTGGTTATGGGAAGATTGAAACCTTGTGTCGACTCTTCCCAGCCTTGAGGCCCTACAAGAGGGCACATAAAAGGTGCTAGAAACAGAGTCTCCATGGCTGTTCTTGCTTCTGTGAGATGAGCATTGAAATGTTGTTCTAATGATTCAAATTGGGTTTTATAATGCCTTGTATGTTTATCGAAGAATGAACTATAACCTGAATAAGTTATTGAGCTATTCTGTGCTTCTCCATCAGCAAAAGTCACAATTCCTGCTGAGACTCCACCATTGGCTAGCAATTCCTCGGCTACCTTTAGAAAATTCGTGACATGGCTTCTCCTCCTCCTCCTCGCCATGTGTGGAAGTTGAATCATGCAGTTGAAGACTAACCATTCTTTGCCTCGTCCCATTTGCTTCATCCTCGTCAACCCACTTGCTAGATCCTCAATACTGGTTTCCTCTATCTGCAGTTTCAGACCAGATTGTCTGGCATGATGATATAACCATTTCTTTGTCCGCTCAAAGTCCCATGGTGAACAGATGGTCTTGTTGTCTAACCTTATTGATGTGAATCTAAGTGACTTTCCTTTGTGGCTTATGGCCTCGAATACAGGAGGCCATTGAATTCCCTCTCCCACGTCGAAGTCTATTATGTGTATTGTTTTTATGTCGTCTGGCATAGCTTGCAAGATTGCTGAGTTAGCAGTGAAGTGCGCAAACTTCCCATATGGGAGGCTTTGGTAAAACACCATGAATGCTTTCATGAAGTACTTGCTCGACTCCTGTCTCAGGTATTCTCCCTCACGTTCTTTCGACTGAAATAGATTGAAGGCTAGACGTTCAAGTATCGTGCCACGGGGATTGGTTTTCTTGTTTATCGATTTCACAATCTCAGTAGAGAGTTCCTTTTGTCCATTCTCCATAGCCTCCCCATAAGCCTTTAAGAGGTGATGAAGACTCAATTGGTTATCTATTTCCATTTCATCTGCTGGATATGTTAATGACATGTCCATTGAACTCTCATTCACAGGCACCTCTGAGGAAACATTTTCCTCAGTATCACTACTTCCATTCAGCCATTCGTCGACGCCCTCAATCTCTCCAATTGGATTACTCTCCAAGCCCTCAGTAGGGGAAGTTATTTGAATATTGTCACACAAATTTTTAAGCTCGAAAAACTCACCGGTGAACATCATTGGGACGCACGAATCCCAAGAAACTTCCGAGAACACTTCAGGTGAGGTGAATGAAGACGAAAATTCATGATCAGCTGTCATGCATAAATCCATATTTGGATCATAAAGGCTAGTATGATCAAGATTTGAGTATGTATTATTAAAGGTTGACCATGGTGGAAGAAGCAGCTCAGATTGCATCATTTTCTTGATTGTACTTCAGGGACAGATAGGCTAGTGAAATTCTGATGATTTTTGTCATTCATATATAACTAAAACTTATCACAGATGTTGACAAAAAGTAAAAATGTAATATAGAGACAGAATAGTTTATTGGTTTTTCTTATAATAGATAATTTATTATAGTAAAGTACCAAGAAAAGTTCTCTTTTTTTCTCAATTCTTCCTGGATGTTAACATTCTGGCTTCATTATGTTATTTTAATCAATGACACAGATATTTATTATTCATGTATTTCAAGGTAAAATGTCCTCTTTCATCAAGTAATCTTTTTAAACCGTGTCTACTTCATTGTTAAGGAACACTATAATTTCCTTCTTCAAAATCTTCTTGATGGCTGCAAGAACAAAATACAAATTAGCAGCAAATTTTAATTTTTGCTAAAAATAATTTGCAGTAACCTTTGAGGTGTTATTTGGACAGTTTTTGTTCATAATTTGGAGAAAACATCTAAATTTAGCAAAAATTTCTGGAATTATTAAAAAGAAAAGTGAATCATTCAAATGCTATACTAATATTAAATCTATGCTTAATTTATGATATGATCAAATGAATCTCCATCAAGTTCTAGTCCATAAAATGGATCAAACCCAACTAATTTTCTGCTTATTACAATTAGAAATTAGGGTTGAGAAAAAAGCAATTTTGTGCTTAATCAAAATCACAACATATGGTAGAGTAAAACTATATATATAGTTCAATGGCAATTGACATAACTATTCCGAAAGATCATAGGAACTGGTTTAGAAGAGAACCTAGCTAGTCGATGCCCATTATTGCTGGTTTTTCCCATTGGATTATGGAGAAATTACAAAATTACTACTCTATTTATTCACACTGGCAAATACATAGCTGTAAACGTTTTCTATGAGAAGCTATACAGAGGGAGGGGGTGGGAGAGAGAAGTAAAAATAGCTGCCGTTTTGTGGCCATTTAAACTCCAACAAAGGAAACTTTTCTTGGTGAAATTACGTATTTTTAATGGCTAATTTTTGAAGGTAGGGATTATTGTCCACATGGCATACTAGTCAACACCTTTAGTGTCTAGGTTGGTGTTTCCAACCAGACAAAATTTACTTCAACGACCATTAAAATACAGAGATAGTTGCAACCCGAATTAGAAGGTAATATACTTTGAGATGATTCTGATTGCCAATAAAAATATGGTAACTTAATATGTTGGTAAACTATCCAAAACAAGGAACTATAGCTTGAAGCATCACCTGTTCGTATTTTTCACTAAAGAGTAAAGTTCATTGATTAAGAAATAAATAATTTGAAGCCGGCCATGTATTCATATTGAACTTGAATAAAACAAAAACATTCCAAAAACTGGAGACAAAATGGGCTAAACATCCATCAAGGACAGGCCACTGTTGCCTGAATATTTCTTTATTCTAACACGTGCCTTTGACAGATTTGTTTTGCTTTCTTGAAGATAGAATTATTAAAATGCATGTTGGCAATTTGGCATACAATCGACCGCAATTTTATTATAACGACATTTAACTGCCTTTCGGTAGGTAAACAGAATAACAACTCAAGCATAAAAAAATCAAAGGTAAATAACAAGGAACATGCTACAGAAAGCCTGTGGCCATATTGCATAAAAGTAGGAAAAAGTTTTGACCCATAATTAGCAGATCAATGAAAAGAATTTCATCATCTTAGTCTAATCCACATTACAAAAAAACATTAGCATACATGACAAGAACCCACCCAGTTGTGGGTACCCTGACAACTTCAACCTTACCATATCAACGAAAACAAAGCCACAACCACATTAACAAAGAGCCGCAGCTAAGAAACACACCTTTCACCCGCAGACAGAGAAGGCACGTCCGATCATCCCCTGGGTCCACGTGGCTGTTTCTTTCAGTTGTTCATCATCGGATTGAAGACACTCACCTAATAATTCAGTGAAGAACATACGATCTTTGAACATCGTCTTTATGTTTGAACCAAGTGCATCTGCTAGGTCACCCAAAACTGCAACTGCTGCTTTTGTTACACTCTCATCCCTAACGAGCACCATGTAACTGACATATTAGAATGTGCAGACATTCCACATAATGAGGAATAAATATATAGATAATAGACAAATTTACTAAAAATACCTATGTTGGTCATTGGCAACCAGTTCGATGAACTGCAGGAGGTGAGGAGCATGAGGTAACATCAAATCAGCCTTGGAATTTTTAAATCCCTGAAGAATTCCAGAATAAGCCTCAAAAATACTGCGCCTGAGTTGGTTGCCATAATCCACCATCTCCTCATCATTGTCGTCCATTTGGGCACACACTTCAGAAGCACTTTGCATCATTGGCAGTGCATAACTGATGTACTTCTCGAAGTGCTCACCAATTGCTAAAGCAATGTCCCCAAAGCAGGAGAATATAGGAGGCTTCACAGACCGATGGAGTTCACCACTGGAAAGATCCTTGAGGAGAAGCGTCATGATCCCATCACAATATGGTAAGACTTTGTCGTCCAACGCGCGGGAAATGTCACCCACAACCCCAACTGAGATGGCACAAACCTGGTACTCCTCAAAATTCTGCAGACCCATCTCCAAATACTTGTAGAACTCTTGCATGTACTTCCCAAACTCGGGTCCAGTGGCATAGGCCAGTGCACCAATAGCGAGCATAGCTTCTTCATGAACAGTAGAACTACGGCAAGCAAACACATTAAGGAACAATACCATGATCTGATCAGCTGCCTGGAGTACAATGGGCTTGGTTTCATCAGCACTGCTTAGTTTTTGAATAATAACCTGAAGCACACCACAAAGAGAGGCTTGTAGATCTCCTTGCTTTTCCCTATCATCAGATGACACAATTTGAAGATTTAAAGTTTGTTCTAGCTTAGACATCATAACAGGTAGAAGTTCGACAATCATCTGAGATGTCTCTGCAAGGTTTGAGCACCTAACAACTTCATTCAAGGTTTCATATGCAGAAGACCTGAGCTTGGAATCACTGCTATCTGTTCGATCAGCAGTGGTAATAAGATTAGTTATGATATCTCGAAGGAAAGGTGTGAGCAGAGAGGAGCTTGTTCCAGCATCCTCATACCCCTGAGCAATATAATAAATAGCTCCACAAACCTTCTCGGCCACATGTGGTGCATCTTTAATACCATCCAACAGGATCTCCAAAATCCTTTGGAGGTTAGCAGGGGTAATCACAGAGAAACCAGTAGCTGGTGAGTGCAATAACTCAAAGATACGGCTAAGTGTCCACGCAGTTGTATCTTTCACATGGCTGTTTGCATCCTTCATTGCATTAAGCAGAAAATCTAAGCCAGCATTTACCATAGGAGAAAGCTTTTCGATACTTGGTCCTTCGAGGATTGAGCCAAAAGCATATGTGGCTGCCTCACGAGCTCGCCAGTCAGTCTTCGATATGTTAGCCTCAACAAAAGGCATTACCAGAGGCACAACACCATCCCCAACAGTCCTAGCAACAAGACAGAGACATGTCCCACCAGCCATGGCCAGATTCCATGTTCCATCATCTTGGTCCTGATCCTCATCCTGCTTAAGCAATGTTTCTAGCAGCATAGGAACTAAAGTTGGAAGAGCCTTCTCAATGAAGTGAGAGTGTGGAGCACTTGAATCTCCACTCTCAGGGACCTCATAGTCTTGAAGCTCCATTTCTTCATCACAGATGGAGCTCCAAAACTCAACTGCCTGAAGGGCAACAGCCTCCTCATCTCCTTTGACTGCCTTGGATGTAAGCTCAAAGATCCTTTGCATATAAGGTTCAAGCACCTCATAGTATGCTGATACAATAGAAACGAGACACTCAAAAGCTGCCTGTCTAATCTCTGTTTCTTTTGCCAAGGCTGCATCACAAATCACCTTCATAATATAGCTCCTCTCCATCTCATTCTCAAAGTTGGTCTGTGCAAAATCAAGGGCATTGTACAAAGCCCTGGTTGCAGCAAGCCGGACCTCGGAGTTTTGCTCAGTGACATTCATGCCTTGGACAACAGCTGTGAGAATAGCGTTTACTTCATCTTGCACAAGATCATGGTGAGATATCTCCTCACACACATAGCCAAGTGTTTCTAGTGTTGCCTGTTTCAGGGACGCAGGTCTATCTGGTTGAGTCATATTGGCTAGTAATAATCCAATAAGTTCTGGCCATTCTTTTCTGGGAATTTCAATCGAAGCTATCTTAGCAATTACTTGGGCAGCAGTATGACATGCCTCACTTACAGACGATCCAAGAGTGTTTAGGAGAGAGCTTTTTATCTGGGATTTAATAGAAATGTCTATCGACACCCATTGTTGAATGAGATTTTCCTTCCTTGCAGCTTCTTTAGCATCCAAGGAGTTCTTAAGGACAATACCGGCAAGTCTACGAGACTCAGTTGGTTTGCCATCGTTCGAGAGCTCAAAAGATAATGACAAAAGAAATCCTGGTAAATTTTGGTCCCTGAACTGACCAAGAGCACTCTCTGCCTCAGTTCGAATTTTTGCATCTGGTGATTGAGCAGCCAATAGATACTGGGTGATCTCTAGAGCCATTTTCCCTAAAGCAGAAAGAAGTACTACATGAAGCATTAAGGATGCCTACTTGGAAATAAGAATTTCCGTTCCAGGAGTCAAAACAAAAATTGGTGAAGGATGAAAAACAGTTGATAAAATGAGCAACGCTACTTCCAGCCAAAAATTATGATCGAATTAAAGATTTCATCCTCAACCATATAAATAATTTAATAAATGACAAACAATTTTAATAAAATCCAGAATAAATCGTCAAATGAACATCAGAGAGTCCCATTTAAGCATAAGCAGAGCTCTAGCTATTAAACTTTTATCTTAAAAATGCCTTATCACCAACCAACAATTTATCCTAAAATAGATTTGAGAAACATACAAAATACATACTCCGCCAGACATAAAAATCCAAGTACCGAGCAAAAGAATAATTAATTTCGAAAGCAAAGCATGCTTGTATTAAACCCTAGACCATCAAAACAACAAATTCAAATTAAATTCAATAAAACAAAAAAAATAATAATCCAAACATCTGAGATAAAACCACGAAATAGACAGAAAATTACCTCAAATTAAAGCCGCAAAATCAAAATAGCTTCGATTCCAATTGCAGTAGCTAGGGTTTTTCCCTCTCCTCTCTTTCTCAAACTGCTTCTTGAATCGAATTCCAATACAGACTCTTGGACTGTACCGATTCTCTTCGTATCTATTTGTTATAATTTGTTATAAAAAAATGGATACATCTGGCGTGTGAGAGAGGAGATACTGATTTCGAATAGATAGAAAAGCGGGAGGAGATGGCTTGTGAACAAAATCCAACGGGCAGTATTGCCTGGGCTGCCCGGATCGCCGACCTTTAAAAAACCCTAACCTTGTTTTGAAATTTCGCACGTGTGGGATTCATATCCGTTGGGCCGGAGGTGTATCAGGACCCGGGTCCATGCAATTCAATATACTTTGGGCTCAATTAGGGCCTGTTTGTTTGATGTAAGTTTTGAATGAAAAGTGAGTTGGTTGAAAAGTGAGGAAATGTTATGTGTAAAAATTATTTTATTCAAAAATGTGTAATTAAAAATGAGTTTGAGAAAAATTAATTGTTAAAGAGTCCATACCAAACAGAGATTTAATTCAATTCTAGTTTTAATTTTTATACAAATTATATTTCAAATAAATCAAACGAAGCAACATAAAAATCCTATGTATTAAACTATAAAAAATGAAGTCAAAATTATTGTTACTTTTGTCGAATTTTTTAAATTAACCTCCAAATTTCTCATGCAAGTCGGATTTATCAAAAAATAAAATCGTCGTAGTGGAAGTCTCTTAACTTGTCTAGTGTGCTTCTATAACAACTTTTAAGGGGAAAATATTTGTTATTTAGAACTAGATCTCATTTGTCGCATTACGTTGCGGTGATATATCGATGTTGAAGAGATTCCGATGCTTAAAATCGCGAACGAACGTTGGATAAACACGTTATCATACCATTAGCTAAGCTAAGAAAGCACACAAAATCTACATTACAATAATCCTGTATACAGCTGTACCACTTAAATGAAAAATGCCACTAAAGTACTGATTCCTAGAATTCTGCAATTCAATTATTCTGTTTTGGCTTTGTACGCCATTGAGAGTTCAGTACTCTCACAGATTTTCCCTGCACTGGGCTTTTAACACTGCACAGTTTCGGCTTCAATCCCCACCGGAATAATGTTCCAAGCCCACAGCCCTTCGGGGAAGGGTACGCACGTCTAACGCTAACAGCTCGAGAAACACTAGGATAGGTAGCAACTTTGTTGTGTACAACTGATGCAGCAGCCAATGCTTGAGCATCTGGTAGAAACCTCTGAATTATGAAATTAGGCTCCTCCACCTCCACTGCTGAATTTCTACCAATTGACATTGCAACATTGTCCTCTGATTTATCTTTATCTTCTTCTATTGAATCTGCTAATGAAAAAATATCAATGGCATCTGAGAAGCAATCTTTTTTGTTATAATTATCTTGGTTGTCATAATCATCATCAACGTCGCCATCGCAGCCATCTTCGTAACTGGTGTCTTCTTGTGGTGGCTGCCACCTGCCCGGTGGTAATTTCGGTTGTGGTACATCAATGTCGCTTTTGTCATCTCTTGTTTCCATGTCCTTGGGCTCTCCAGGGATTCGCTCCCAAGAGAACGGCACCCCGTTGTGAGTGTCTCGGGACTTGTTGTCAAGATTTGCTGGCAACATGATGCGGATCGGACGCCTTGTTGATAGAAGCGGTGCATCAAAATCCAGCTTTCTTGGGCAATCTTTTAGCATGACTTGTTTTTCATATTCCTCCATGTAATAAAAATTGCAAGTGGTTGTAAGAGAACTTGAGATTGGAGTGAATGATTGAGGATACAGTTCACAAAGGTGGTTGAAAATAGCTGGAAATATGGGGGATCTCGTGTGGTCAACTAAAAGGTACTTTTAAAGCTCACAGGTGTTCTATAGAAGAAACATTTTCATGGCCTTATGTCCTGTTGGGGGGGGGGGGGGGGGGGGGGG